CAACAGTCCATTATGGGATGTTTCTACTTAGCCTTTTCAATAACTCTTTTAATAGCTCCTTTTAATAACTGGTCACCTTCATGGACTGACAGGTGCCACACATTCCTTTATATCTTTCCAATGAGAATAACTTACCATCAATAGTTTCACATCAAGGAGCAACTGCATCCAATCTCTAGGTAAGCTTGATATCTGGTAGCTACTTATGAAGGTCTATTCAGTAACCAATAGTAACTGATTCTGACCACAGGCATTTCTCTAGAGTTAGTTTCCTTACGAGTCTCAATGGGAAAGCAAGTATCTATCAAAGATTTAAGTGCCTCTATAACTAATCCTGATCAGAAGGAGACTGTTCACACTAGGAGAAGTCATTAATGTTCCTGTAAGAGTTGGGGAATGGGATGGCTTCATCTGTGCTCAGTTGGCTGCAACAAATAGAACAGCTGTTTGTAGAAAATGACCCTACCCACCACTAAGACTTCTCTCTAGAATCATGAATTACTAATAATCTAGAAGGAAAGAAGGATTTTGAAACTGCTCAAAAATTTTCTAGGGCTCTACATTGAAAATCCCTCAGTAATTACTGCTGTAGTCTTATATCACTACTGGCCATTTGTTAATGAGCCTAATAAGAAGTGGAGTCAACTAAGAGCACAAGGGAGCCAAGCCAACCTGCTTGGCTATTCATGCAAACATTTTTGTTGATGTTGTTTTCTTTTGTCTTGTTTTAAAATTTATGTTCCTAAATCAGCATGTGCCATGTTAGATACTCTTGTGATATTTTCAAGCAAAGTTTACAGGACATCCATTGGAGAAGTAAATAACAATGAGATATTTATAGGTCTTTTGTTTGGGATATGATGTAATGTTTAGATAATGGTTTAAAAGAAGTGGGAAAAGAATGGCTTAGGAGATAAACCACAGTGATGAAAACAACTGAAAAGACCCATGGCTAGAGAAAAACCACAAAGCAAAGAAGTGATAGAATGTAGTGAAGATGGAAAGTCTAAGTTAAGGAGGCCACTCTTGTAAAGAAGGGATACATCAGGTTTGGAGAAATATGAAAACTTGATTTGGCACTCACTGAGTCTTGGATGTTTTGTAGTCATCAGAGGGGACAATAGCTGATAGATTTGTGATCTTGTAGTCAGTATCTCAAGTCTGATATGACCGTGGCTAGGAGAGTCTTTGGGTCTCATGATGGCCTGAATTGACTGTAAAATAGGTAAGTCCAGAATCCCACCAACAAGAACCAAATGATGGATGATCTGATTCCAAGAAAGTGCTAGAAAAGATCGATGATGTCCTTGACACCAGAAGAGGAGAAATGTCGAGAAGACAGTAAACAGGAGTGGTGAATGCCTCCGAAGGTCAAGTAGAAAGGTGGAAACACTTGGTAGTGAGTTGTTCTTAGGATGACATGTTACTTGAAGAGGGGCAAAGCTCTAAATTTTTCACAAGTGGTGTGAGGGAAAGGAGCACTTCTTTTGAAATGCCAAGAAAATAGTCAACAGCAAGTGCCCCAGATGGTCCAGTGGATCAATGGAAACATTTGGTAATGAGTTTTTCTTAAAATGAGATTTTACTTTGAAGAGAGGGCAAAGCTCTAAATTTTTCATAACTGTAGCCCTGGAATCTGTTGCAAGAATAGTACATATTTCAAGAAAAGTAAAATTAAGCCAAAGACATGGTGATTTCCATGTCTCACTTTTGGTCCAAGAATGTGGAGAGTTTGTTTGTTTTGTTTTGTTTCTTCTAAATTTTCCCGAAATAAGCCATCCAGCTAAGACTAACTTATTAATTGTGCAGGATTAGCTCTTTTCACATTCAATTTACATCAGGCATGTTTTAAAGTATAAAGGTATTAAAATACTTAATATGATAGGAATATAAAATCTGTCACGAGATAATTTCAGCTGCTCAAATTGTGCATGCAAATGCATGTAGGCTGTCTGTCTCTCTATTTGCTGTTCTCCCTTGGGTGAAACGGCGTGAGGTATGTTTGTACTTGCCAGGTCAGTTTCCATGCATTAATCTAGCTCTTAAAGATATCAGGGAGGAAGTACCTTCTAGGGCTTGGCTTGGCTTGGTAAACTGTAGAGAGAGCATGGAAAACATCAGGAGGATGCTCCAGGTAAAGAGAAATGGTGTGCTTTGCCAAACTTGCATTTTATTTAAGTGTTGTATTTCTTTCTGTAACATCTGGGAAGCGTCTAGATCTGGAAAGAGATTGGGGGAGGAAACAGAAAAGAGGAGAGGAGAGAAGAGAAGAGAAGAGAGAAGAGGCAAGGGAAGGAGAGGGGAAAGGAGGGGAGGGGAGGAAAGAGGACAAGATCATGGTTGTGTTTGATTTTCTAGTTTGATTCAACTTAAAAGATGTCCAAGAGTACTTCTCTCCACAGAGTAAATTCCTCCCTAGTCTAAATTTCTCCTCTCTTTTCTAACTGCCAAAGCATGTTTTTGCTGTACAAAATGTTTCTTAAACAGCACCATGAAGTGGCAGGTATTAAAAGCATGAAAGAACAATAATAACAAGCAGCAAGCTGTTTCTGTAATTTATGAGGAAAAGTTAAAGCACACTCCTTATTAAAAAGCAATAGGATAATTCCTTTGATGCCCATGTAAATAAGCAACCATATCAACAAGAAATAAGGCTTTTTTTTTTTTTTAACAGCAGCAGTACTGTGAGGTATGTGTATTTCACAGTTGGCAGTTAAATAGGTATGGTAGCTCTCTACCCTCACCACATAAGAAGACTTGCTGGCAGTGTTCTGTGGCAAGCCAGGGTGTTTTCATTGGCCTGAACCCTCTAGTACAGTGGTTCTCAACCTGTGGGTCTCAACCCTTTCGGGGGTCAATTGATCCTTTTACAGGGGTCACACAGCAGATATCCTGCATATCAGACATTTGTGTTATGATTCATAACAGTAGCAAAATTACAGTTATGAAGTAGCAACAAAATAATTTTATAGTTGTGAGTCACCACTATATTAAGAAGCATATTAAAGGGTTTCAGCATTATAGAAAGGTTGAATAATAGCACTGCTCTAGGGCCTCTGTACATTTAACTCTGGTGTTTTGTCTTAGAAGCAGCTGTTTGAGCTGCCTTTGCTGATCTGTTCTGTTCTGGGTGTTTGAGGGTTAGCTTCTTCCAGGATATTTACTGACAGATCCCTTGTGAAAACTTTCTTCTAAAACCAAGAGTTAATGAATTGGTTGTTTCTTTGTTTTACTTATTTGTAAACTGTTTTTGAATGCTTGCATAGCATGAGAACTTTCTGGGAGATTAGAAGGCATTAAACAGGACAAGCTAAGGAAGGTAAACAGTCTGAACGACCTGTCAAGCAGTGCGTAGAAGTGGTTTTCATCTCTACAACTCTTGACCCTACTGTCTTCTGTCTCTCTTTCATTGTCCGTCAATTAGCAGAGCAATGGGGATGCTAGGGAAGCCATCTTTCCATATTTTCATACCCTCTTCCCTTCTAGTGCTACAAAGGTAGGAAGTAGGTGGTGCTGGGATGGAGCTAACGATGTGGGAGAAGCTAGAGAAGTGTGCAGCACAGGTTGAAGTGGGGGAGGGAAGTGGGGGGAGCAGACTTCCTGCTTAGCTGGTTGGTCTGAAAGGAGTGTAGAGTTTGCTTCCCATCCCTCCATCCCAGGTTCCTCCTCTTTGCTGGGTGTGCAAAGATGGTGTGATTGTGGCAAGCTTATTGTGATTGCTGCTCTATTTTCCTACAGGAGGGCAGAGGTAGGCCCTAGCTGGCAGTCTAGGGCTCCTCTTCTGAACTTGGTACTGCCTCCTAAAGCAGGAGTTGCTGAATCCTGCCATGGATGCTCCAGGACATGCTTTTCTGAACTCATGGACAGTGGTCAAAGCCATGAGCAAGTCTTTAGATTAACAGTAGAATGAGAAAACAGTACAGGAAGTGCCCATGTTGGACAATAGTGATAAAGAGGAATGTTGTTTTCTTTGAATTGCATATTCTTGGCTCAAAGATATGAGGAGACACAGGGTTACCCCTGCCAGGTGATGGCCTACCTGAAGGAGTAACAGGACTATTTATAATTCTCTTGCTGGGTAGATTCTATATTTATTCCAAAGGTTTATTGTGATAAGAAAATATAACTATATGATATTATTATAAGAAATTACTATTCTTTGGGAAAAGTTAAAATGCTGTACACATAAAGCAGTTATGTGGGGTGCCGATAAAATCTTCAGAAAGTGATTATATGTTCTTTGTATACCTTCTTACTGAGATTTTTTTTCTTCCTAGCATAAACTATTACATCCAGAAAGCATATATTCTAAATTTCATATATTAACAGTGTAGTATCATCCTAAAGAGCAAAACTATCTCTAGATCCCCCAAGTTGATCAATACTAGTAGATATGTTAAGGCAGAGGTGTTAGGACAAACTGGCCATGCCTTGAAGCTTTATAAAGGCATTACTGGATTCTCTTGGCTTGACGCTTCCTTCTGTATGATGCCGACTCTTCAGTGCCTGCAGGCGTCACAGCATCATCCCTTAGACTGAACAAAGTACCAAGCAGTCAGCTCAACCATCACTCCCTTTGTTAGGTAGGCTTGAATCTGTCGGGCAAGGATGATAGCGACTCATCACCCAGACTAAGATTTCTATTTGTTGCCTCTGAACTTAATCTAGACTATATTTTCGGACGGTTGGACAGTAAGTACAGATGCTCTTTATAGATAGTGGGAGGAATTTCCTCTACTTCTTGAGTCCGAGACCCCCATACCTTACTTTTGTAGTATGTAGGATCCAAGCTATTCCTTTATGCTGCTTAGTGACGAGCTTGGAGCACCTTTCATGTAGGAGGTCACTGAAGCCTGCACATGGACTAAATGATGTATAATACTGTTGAGCTGGCCTCTAGGTTCTCTGGTGTGGCACCTGTTCCAAACCTTTCCTGTCATGGCCTCCCTTTGAAATGAGATGATTATGCAAATTCCTGACCTATAAAATTCTTCTTTTAGGATCCACCTACTTCAGTTTCCCTCGGACTACGAATGGAAGAGATGATCTTCAACTTGGCAGACACACATCTGTTTTTCAATGACCTAGAAGTAAGCTCTAATTGTTTTACACATACTTTGTAGCACATATCTGAAAATACATGATTGGTTCTGAAATAATGATTGGATGTTGCTCTTTTAAACATATGATTGGAGGATTGAGACAAAGTGCTTATAAAGCAATGTGTTTCCCCTTTGTGCTATTTATTACATTTTCAAGTTGGACCCTACGTGATTAAAATTTGATGACAAGATTCCTAAGTATCAAGAGTGGTTCTCAGAAGCTCTATAAGGCTTGCTTTCACCATTGAGATGTGTCCTTAACCTCTAAGAGATGTTCTGCAATAGCCTGTTTTGTCCCTACTGATCCCTTCCTGTACTTTTCTCTCCAGTCTGACTGTTTGGGGATGGTTTGCATCAAGCCTTTGCTGTTTGGACTGTGAGAATTTCTCATGTCCTAACTGCAGCTGATTTTATTAGGAGAAACATCTCTAAGATGGCTGACCGATTGTGAATGGATGGCAACAGACACGATCTTAGTTAGTTGCATTCCCAACAAAGAAAGGCCTTGTTTTCACCTATCTCCATCCTGACAGAACATAACTGTAACTGCACTGCCCCCTTCCTTCACAAGGACAGTTGTTTATTTAACTCTCACTGCTAAGCAAGCTTGTGGTAGGACTGCCAACAGGCATTAATCATCAAGTAGTTGTTTTGCTAGGTTTTATAAGCGTATGTTATTTCAGACAGGAGAAGAATCTCAAAGATTCAAATAGAACTTTTACTGATCAAAGTTAATTGGCAGCAATTGGCCTTTAAATATTTCCTGATGTTTCCCTTCTCAAAATCAAGCAAAATGCACCTTATTTAATAGAGGAGGCAAAATCACTTGAAAAATGCCAGTGTGTGACAGACCTTAAATGCGGTTTGTTCAACATCTGTCCTGTATTTTGATTTCTTTTCATCTGCAATGAAATAACTCACAGGCGAATTGGCAGCTTCCAGTACAATAAAACAATTTAAATATACTTGGTTTTTTCTCACGTTCCCCAGAGCTATATTTATTCTTATATTTAAAAGTAAAACACTATCTTTATATTTGCATTTGTAAGTGTTTGCCTTCCTCAAGGAAATGACATGTCATGCATTATGATTTTTCATGGGGGAAATTCTCTCTGAGTGACAACTTCGAAGTTACCTTTAGAAAAGCTTCATAATCAACACGTTTTCAAAACTTGTTTCTGATTTGTGGGCATTTCATTTTATGATAGGTCAACACCAAACGTCCATATTTTACTATCCTATTAAAATTCTCTACCCACATATTCATTTGTCTGTAAAGACACAGACTAAGGTGGTATTTTATGCTATACATGGCCTTGTCCCTCTTACTGCTGTTCGTCCATGTTCGTAACATCCATTAAGACTAGACAAGCAATACGTTGCTATCGATTTAAAATTCTGGCTTGTGAAACGTGCCAAATGGTGTGGCGAAAAGTAAGAAGTTAAGCAAAGTAATAATTTATGAAATATTTTATTATGGTTCTTATGAAAACTCCCAAACTCAGTTGTGATTTAATACGGGATTTTTGTTGGTTTAATTTACATTATTTCCACTGAAGTATAAGGGGAGACCAAAGTGGTACTCAAATATCTTAAAAGTACAAACTAGAAGTTCTAATTTTAGGATGTGGGAGATAAAAAAAAAATTTAAATGTTTCTTGAAGCAAATAAAATGCCAGAATCTGTTCTTATATGCATGTTATTTCTTAATAGAAGGAAAGAGAAAACGGGAATGAGTATATAATTCGAACCACATACATAAAGTGAAAATGGAACTATTTTAAAGCTCCAGAGCTGATGCAAATAGCTTTTCAGTAATTTTACTTGCGAATAATAAAAATGTAACCAAAAGTAGCTGCAAAAGATTCATTCCGCCTTTCCTTAAAAATTAATTTCTCAGAGGATCCAGACAGACCTGAGGAGACCTGATAGACCAGGATCAGAGGGAAGGGGAGGAGGACCGCCCCTATCAGTGGACTAGGGGAGGGACATAGGGGGAGAAGAGGCAGGGAAGGTGAGACAAGGAAGAGATGAGGGAGGCAGCCACAGCTGAGATACAAAGTGAATAAACTGTAATAAATTAGTAGAAGTAGTAATGAGAAAAAAGAAAATTGCTTTCCCTAGATTTATATAGCATTTTAAAATAGATTGGTTCTTACACTTAAGGCAGTCTTAACTTTTACATGTTCTTTAATTTAGCAAAACTAGGACTAGTCACTGCAAACACAAGTTTCTTTGATTATAAAAGTAAAAAAAAAATAGTTCCTGGCCAACATCTTCTCAGGCGGCAGTAGTGGACAATACCTGATTTCCCACACCCGTAATACTGTGTGGCGACAAGCAACGTGGACATTTAGATACACTTAGACTACTGGATTTAGCTTCTGACTGACTGTGAAACATGAGATTTTTAAGGAGTTTGACAACCTCTCCTTGGGCTTGCAGTATCAGGCCTGAACTCTGGTTATTGACATTTTCCTTTATTTCCTTCTGACATCTTAGCTTTTTGCCAGCTGCCTCGCTGCATGATCTGTTTAGCTCATTCTTACTTAACAAGATGAAATGTGGGGAACTTCCAGTGACATGTGTTGTACCTCAGAGTACGTGGGTACAGTGACTATTAGGATACAACTTTTGAAACAAGTAAGAAATATCACCATGAACTTGACAAAGCAACGTAGCTAATAACCCTGTTTAGCCTCTGAAGTCTTGCCATCTCGGTGGCTTTTTTTTTTTTTAATATCAAGATTCACGTTCATTCCATTGATGCAACAGGAAAATCAATTAAAAAGAAAAGTTTTTGTTTCTCTGTTTTATTAAAAGTGTCTGATGTGAACAATAGGGAGATACAACTGTCCTAGGATATGATAATTTCCCCAGCAGAGACAGGCTGAAATACTAGTTACAAAGCATACCTGGGACTTCCTGATTCTAGCCAGACAGACGTGCCACATATCACTTTACAAAAAGTCCCCACAGGCAATCTGATGATGCTTATATGGAAGTCATTTTTTTCTAAGTGACTCTATGGAACCAGAGCACTTTTTGGCTTCTTTGGAATAATATGACTTTCTAACAGTATGGGGGAGGGGGGAGTTATTTCTGTTGGATTTCTACTCAAAGTCCACCTGCAAACAGCAACAGCAGCAAATAACATGGGGTCTAAGCCATATCCTGCGAGTTTCCCCGTTGGAGATTTCCAAATTTAAAAGGATACGTTTGTCGCAGATGCTCACGTCTCAATGGAAGCAAAGCATTTGGTTTGCCTTGAGTTTTCTCTTGGTGTTGTATGATGCTCACTGTCATGGCAACTGCCATGATGATGCATGGACTCCTGCCTCAGGAGTAGGCAGGAACTGTCTTCACGTGTTACCCCCGGAGAGGTGCAGGCTGGGAGGTCATGAAAACCTGCCCCCGTGTCTGCGAACACAGCCTCTGGGGTCATTGCCCACACCGTCTGGGTGGGAAAGCTCCCTAGAGCATTGTCCAGTCTGACACAAGCCAGCATTATCTAAAGAAGAGGGAACATAATTGAGCAAACACCTCCAGAAGACTGGCTCATGGGCAAGTCTGTGAAGCATTAATTACTCATATGGGTGAGCCCAGCTCACCAGAAGTGATGCCAGCCCTGGGAAGGAGGTCCTGGCTTGTACAACAAACCAGGTTGAGCAATCCATCAAGGGCAAGCCAACAAGCAGCATTCCTCCGTGGCCTCTGTCTTAGTTCCTGCCTTCCTGCCATGACTTCCCTCAGGCAGGATAGAGTGTGACCTGAGGGGTGTGAGCTGAAATAAATCCTTCCTCCCCAAGTTGCTTTTGGTCATCATGTTTATGACAGTAAGATGGATGTGTCAGGACAGTTGATTTTCTGCTACACAGATGCCTAGCACAAATACTTTGACTCCTGTCTAGGTCATTTTGTTTTTAAATACCTATACTTATAGTCTTTGATGTCACCTCCTTTTTTAAATAAAAGAGAGAACAGAGGCTCTGGCCTCACTAGGGTCTGGGTTTGACAAATCAGAGGCCAGTGTTAGAAACTTGCAGAGAGTGTCTGCTGACATCAAAGGGTACCAGGAGATTTGTTTTGTAAAGAAATGTGTGTGTGTGTGCCTTGCTTTAACTCAGCCTTTAAATGCGGTGTAAGTTTTATTATTTTAAAGCCCAGGTTATTTGGTAATTATCTTAATATATCTTATTCACACATTTATTTTTATCTGGGAAAAGTATCTTTCTTTAAACGGTCAGTCATGCCATTGCGGAGTGATTTCAAATGATGCGTGCTGTCCTGCCTACCGTGTGCCTCCAAAAGCATGGAACACTGAATTCAGAAGTTGACTTTTTTGAGTCTGAGAAATATGATTCACCTAGAAAGTACTTTTCCCCCCTATAGATAGAAGCTCTGGTGCCCAGCAACCAGCTTTGTGGATGCTGGACGCCTTGGTCTTTAGTTTCTTGGGCGCTGCTGAGGAAGGCATATAGGAAAGAGCCACACTGGTTTCTATGTTTAATCACAGCCACGAGACAAAGTAACTATCGAAAAGTGTGTAGCCTGGTTAATAGTTACACCTCAAACATACGTTTCCCAATACATACATACTTGAAATTTTCAGCTCTGCACATAGGCTTTGGCACCTGAATATAAATGGAAGGAACTATATTAATTTCGCCCTAGTAACCTACTCTATAATAGCCTTGTACATGTTGGTTATTAAGTGATGGGTGGTGGCGGTGCACGCCTTTAATCCCAGCACTCCAGAGGCAGAGGCAGGCCGATTTCTGAGTTCGAGACCAGCCTGCTTCGTCGTGGAGAGAGTTCTGGGACAGCCAGGACTACACAGAGAAACCCTGACTCAAAGATAGATAGATAGATAGATAGATAGATAGATAGATAGATAGATAGATAAACAAACCCTAACAAAAAGGTAAGTTTTGTTAAGTTGAATTCATGTGCATTGTCTTAGATTAAAACATTGAGTCTTGATTCCT